TGCAGTCAAAAGTAAACACTGCGGAATCAAAAATACCCGGTCAAAATTCTCAAGAAAATAATCAAAATGTGCACACTCGGCACCTTAGAAACATATCAAAAGTTACGCGGTAAAAACTGAACCAATCGGAAATTACGGACGAAATTCGCTAACAAAAACGAAATCCGGACAGAAAAGTCGTTCAAACTTCACCGTCCTAAAAATTGAGAAAGTTGGAATGTGCCTTACCTTGCGTACAACACTTTCTCGAACAATCTCGTCGGACGAAAATGGCCCGGCGTCGCCCGAAAATTAGCTTTTCCAAACTTTTCCTCGAGCTTCTCTCTCCTCAAAACATTTCAGATATTTTATTTGATTTTCTCTCTTCAAAATGAGCTGATTTCAGCTAAATATTACTCAGATCGGCCTGGCCGATCGCACGATCGTCCTGGACGATCTGAACAAAACTGCATCGTACTCGGACAATTTAGCAGGACGATAATTAATTTCCAGGACGATTTGCTCTCTGACTTTTGCCATACACTGATCATCCTGGGACGATCCCAGATCGGCCTGGACGATCCCTACAGGAAATTTTTTCTATAACTTCTGGACAGAATCTGGAATAGAATTTACACTAATCATCCCGGGACGATCCAGATCGGCCTGGACGATCCTTGAGCAGATTTGATGTTACAGAGGGAGAGAGAGGGAGGGAGGGAGAGAGAGGGAGGGAGAGAGAGTGAGAGATATAGAGAGCAAGAAGAGAGAGAGAGCAAGAAGAGAGAGAGAGAGAGAGAGAGAGAGAGAGAGAGAGGGAGAGAGCAAGAGAGAGAGAGATAAAGAGAGAGGGAGAGATAGAGTGAGATAGAGAGAGAGCAAGAGAGAGGGAGGGAGGGAGAGAGAGAAAGAGAGAGCAAGAGAGAGATAGAGAGAGAAAGAGAGGGAGAGAGAGAGGGAGAGAGTTTGAGAGATTTAGAGAGAGAGAGAGATTGAGAGAGCGAGAGAGCAAAAAGAGAGAGAAAGAGACAGAGAGAGAGAAAGAGAGGGAGAGAGAGAGGGAGAGCAAGAGAGAGAGAGGGAGAGAGAAAGAAAGAGAGAGAGAGCAGGAGAGAGAGAGGGAGAGAGAGAGAAATCAAGAGAGAGGGAGAGAGAGAGGGAGAGAGAGAGGGAGAGAGAGAGAGATTGAGAGAAAGAGAGCAAGAGAGAGAGAGATAGAGGGAGAGCAAGAGGGAGAGCGAGAGAGGGAGAGAGAGATAGAGAGAGCAAGAGAGAGAGAGCAAGAGCAAAAGAAAACAAGTGAGAGAGAGGGCTAGAGAGAGGATGAGAGAGCGAGAGCAAGAAGAGGGGAGATAGATAGATAGATAGAGAGAGAGAGAAGGATAGAGATAGAGAGGGAGGGAGAGAGGGAGAGCAAGAGAGAGCAAGAGAGAGTGAGAGAGCGAGAGGGAGAGAGAGAGAGAGAACAAGAGCAAGAGAGAATAAGAGAGAGAGGGCTAGAGAGAGGGTGAGAGGGAGAGAGAGAGGGAAAGAAGAGAGATAGATAGATAGAGAGATAGAGAGAAAGAGAAAGAGAGGGAGAGCAAGAGAGAGTGAGAGTAAGAGAGAACAAGAGAGAGAGGGTGAGAGAGAGAGGGAGAGAGAAAGAGAGAGAGGGAGAGGGAGAGAAAGAGAGAGAGAGAGAGGGAGAGAGGTAGAGGGGGAGAGAGATAGGGAGAGAGAGAGGGGGAGAGGGAGATAGTGAGAGGGAGAGAGCGAGAGAGGGAGAGAGAGAGTGGGAGGGGAGATAGAGAGAGGGAGGGAGATTGAGAGAGAGGGAAGGAGGGTGGGAGAGGGAGAGCGAGATAGATAGATAGA